GTAATTACTTAAGGAAATTAGGTAGTACATAATATAAACAGGTAATACACCGTTTTTAACCATTGCTAAGACATCTCAATGTATTTCTCAGATCTGTTCCTCCCTGCTTTTGCATTCAGAGGAGCAGCATGGTGAAATGGTTATCCAGACCACAGATGCGTTGGCTAAATCACCTCATCAGCAGAAGTTAAACCAGCTGCAAGTCTCATCACAGACATGACTGCTCTCAAAACTCACAAGATCTCTACTGAGCAAGTTAAAGCCTGTTGAGAAGCACATCTTAACCACTGCTGTTTATTTAGATTATTGCACTTTATACAAAGCAACAGAGAAGCTTAAGCACTGAAACCAGTGATTCTTAATATGAAAATATCCATGGCAATAAATTGATATGTACTGTTAATGTCAGAAGCTCTGCATGAACTCCTGATCCTACTTCTAAAAAAAAAAAAAAAAAGAATCTTGACATACACTTCTATACAGCCACCTTTCATTAACTCATTAACTTACTGTTCAAAAGTGACAAGCTGTCCCTGGTGGACCGGTGGAACTATGGTAGTTTTCTCTGGAGGAGAAAATCCCCTGCTCGGCCAGGGGATTCAGAAGCCTCTTCTGTAACTAAGCAGGGATGATGCATTCAATCACCTAACCCCTCACCACCTTTCTTGTAATATCCTTGTCAGCATCAGTCCAACAGACTTAGGTTACAAAGCACTTGACTCTCTGGGGCAGATATAGCCCCCAAAAAAAAAAGATAGAATTGCTTCACAGCCATTTGCTCCATCTCACCCAAATTTAGTGGAAGTGAGTTTATGACACCATTAAAACTTTGGGACATTGTTTATTTACAAAAATAACAACAACATAGTAACAGCATTTGACATTTCTTCACCTTTACCATTTCATAGTTGCTTCATTCATGCAAAAATATACTCTGCCAACATGGAACAAGTTTGGTTATCTGTTTATTGAACTTAGAGGATCCTACTTCATTACCAGAAATATTGCACTTAGAGAAGGGAAACAGCATTTCAGCTGCTGCAGCAGTACCGAGGCTCCGCAGTACCTCTGAATCCGGGCTGCGACAGCGCTGCATATCACAAATTAATCACAGCTCCTGCACCAGCGGGAGAAATACCGGAAAGGATCTACTGATGGACGACGTGATCTGTGCGTGTCAAATGACTCTCTTGATGTTTCCAGAGCAGATCACGCATTCCTTTGACTAATTTATTATGAAAATTATGTATTTATGAAGTAGCAATTTCTCAGCAGCCCATGATTTACTCATCGGTGCAGGAGTACTTTGCACTAAGGCAGGCTTTACTGAGTAGAGCAACAACTTCCAAGAAATCTACTTAACTGGCAGCCTCATTAATGACATCAAGGACTGAATGAAAGGAAGACAAAATGATTCTCTTAACATTGCTGCTAAGTCTTTCAGGTCAAAAAAAGACACATGTAACCTTTTCAATGGGAGAATAATAATTTCATTAACAAGATTAGTACTTAACACACTTTGTACATCAAAAAATATCTTGTGTCAAATTTGGCACTAGGTTAACATAAAAAAATTACAAATAATAATGAATAAAAAAACCCGAATAATGAATAAAAAAATAACAAATAACGAATAAAAAAAAATTACTTTTAGAAAGTGTAAACTGAAACTTTCCAGAATGCATAAACAGCGAAAACCTCATTTTTGCTTTCCATGTTCCCCTGTCTTAAGCTTAGCAAGCATCAAACTGTCCTGACAATTTTAAAAATAAATATTTTTTTGCCCTCTTGGAGAGTAGGAGTTCACCGTTTCAGAAAACACTGTGAAGTTCACAGCTAGATCCTCAGCTGCACTGTCTCCTTAAGCACTACAGAAGCGAAGCATTAGAGCTGTGTCCCCTCAAACTAGGGGGACAGCAGCTGCCTCCACGTTTTGGCAGGCAAGTTTATTGAGCTGTTTTATCTTGAAGAGTACAGAAGAAATCCCCATACTAACATGCCCAGGTCCTACAATAGGACCTACCTATACAAGAAGCATTCGTGAATTTGAAATAAAAAACACTGCATGCAGACACCTTTTAAAAGTTTAAAATTAAACACAATTGAAAGTGTGTTTCTCTTACATTAAAAAAAAAATTCCCTTTTTAGAGTGCTTTTAGTTTTCCATATTATTTTAATTACACTTTTAAACATATAAAAATAAACCTAAGGTACAGGCTGAAAACCTTTTTCTGTTTACCTACTGGTAAACAAAATTAAGTTTTAGATTCTCATTAGGTAATAACACAACAGTATCTGCAAGTTTCAACTGTCTGCACTCCAATCTCTGGCAAGAAAACTGCATCTCTCTGAGCTATGCGCCCTTCAGATTGCCACTGTTTCAGCCATTTACGGATCTCAGCATTTGTGTCAACAAGCGCAATTCTCGCTTTTGAAATTATGGCAACACCAAAGGCAACAATCGATTGCTACAAAACAAAAGGGACGACCAAGTGGCAGGCAGGACCCATAATATGCCCCAGTTTGCAAGTCATTGTTTGGAAGTCACATCTTTAGAATTGTTTTACCATTATAATGCAATTTTCACTACTGGTATTTACAAAATTCAAGATTTTTTTCTGTTTTCTTTTTTTCCCCTCTAAGTGAATGGCTAGCAAAATTAAAATACTTGAGCTCTAACCTCGTTTCATTACAAACTAACAAAGGGACAGAGACGCAGAGGTGCTTCAGACCCAAAAGCAGGAGATACGCCCATCACTGTGGCATTACTCCTTGCAACTCATACACGAGTGAAAAAAACAACACAGCAATGAGGACAGGTATGAAGTGTACAGTAACTTGTACCATACAAAGCAGCCTTTACTTAGTATCTCTTCCTCCGACCGAAAGAAAATCACAGCAATCTCTGAATCTAGTAACTACCACAAAACACCAGTACAAGCTAAGGGCAACACAGAGAAGCTACCACATAACAAACAGATTTGCAGATTCAAAGTCATTTCAGGTACTGCCTTAGACCCGCCTGGGCCAGAGAACACTAGCAAGCAATGCAGAGCACACTGCAGGCCGCAGAACTCACCTTCCCTGCGGCAGAGCAAACACGCTCAAGAGGCCACAGCTCATTTCGGAATCCAAGCTGTGCATACGCCGCTGCTGTTAGCCAGCTAACATAAAGCTGGTTCAGATGGATCTGTCTGAAACTGCCATCAAAAAAAGTTAGTGGGTGACTGATGCGTAGGCAGAACTCCCATCTCACCCATTTCTCAGGTTTCTTCAGGTTTTTCTAGTTTCCAGCTGAAGGGCTTTTTCCCCCTCTTAGTCCTAATTCTGAAATATGAAAACCAGTATTCTTCACATACTGTACTGCCATAGGTGTTTGCAAGCAAAATCCCATCCCTCACACCTCCGTAAACCTATCGACGCTGATGAATTCATCTAAATCACAGCCACCCCTGTTTTGAGCTTGGAGTCCCATTTTGTCCACCTGCAGCTGTCTTGGGCTACCTTCTTCTTTCAAAACCCAGACAGCAATCCTCTCTGTCATCCAGAAACACCGCCGTGAAGTGACTGTGGTCACTAATGGAAGCTTACGCATACGTGCTGTACGCGGCCTTAGCCAAACGGCACGGCATCATCACTTTTCTGAGCAATCACAAATCCCGACGTTTTCAAAACAAAAAGGCTGACTCACAGGAAATTACATGTGAAACGACACAGTTCTCATGAACCACAGGGTTCTCCAATTCATAAAGGGCAAGCCCAAACCACCTGACACGGCAGCGCAGCATGCGAACTCGTTAACGGTGACGGCAATGCTCTTCCAGTGGAAGATGGGCACATTTAACGTGGATGCACACCGCCCTGCCGGAGCGAGCGGGACCTCCCATTACTGCACTGCCGGTTTGGAAATGAGCCACCCTCCACAGAGACAGGCATTTTACAGAATAAAGGCTCTCTAGCAGTGGCTTCTTAGGAAGTGGGGAACTGTAAAACACCAAGTACACACAGACAGCACTTAATTACCTCACAGACCCGCACGGTATCTACAAAGCAAAACCAGGAAACGCAGCATTTGTAAGGAAGCGTGACGCGAGGTGGGGAAGAGGTGTGTGTGTTTGGCAGTTGGTTGATTGGGGAGGTGTTTTGCTTTCTTTTTTAAAAAAACCTTCTTGTAAGGGAACCACTAATTCACAGACGATACAACAGCGTGCTGCGTATGGACTCGCACATGCGGCGAGTTAGCTCGTAAGGCTGCCATCCCCCGCTATGAATTGCCAAAGGCATGCTTCTTGGCTAACTACGTAATCCTTCATGTATTCTGTAACTGATACGTAATAGAGCTATGCAGTATCAGGGTAACAAAACTCAAGAAATCAAACTAGGATCGGCTGAAACATGGCAAGCTGCAAGAATTCCAATTCCTCCCACAGGAGAAACTTAGCTTTTCAAAGGTATTATGAATAATACGTGTATGTTTTCACTGGTATCCACATTCCACATCAAAGAAGCTGCACTGATCAGACCAGATAAACTAAAAATATTCCTTTAATAAGTATGTACCAGCAGAAACTTCCCTCTAAAATACTTAATTTTATTAGTGAAATGGTACCAAAGATAACAAGTATACAAACAATCTCTTTGCTCTATGCTACTTACACATCATAAATAAGACAGCTGTTGTTGCAAGACACAATCCTTCACAGTCTTCCTGTAAGCATACAGACTTGTCATTCATTTATCAGAATAAGCTGTTTACCAGCCAACAGCATGTGGCTTGAACATCACGAAAATGACTGTCTATACTTTACATGGTAAAGCATTTTCTATAGTCTTAAATGTACACAGTGGCAAGAACATTAAATCCTATCGAAAATGAAGAGTGATTAAGCAGCTTCACAATCAAACTGGGTTTCATTACCTTAGGAATTGGGCAAATTTTTCATTCCCAGTAATATGCCTTTTCCCCACCCACCCCTCCCCCAGAAGAATTAACTATGCAAAGGAAAAAAAAAAAATTCAAAGCAAATAGCTAATGTGCTATTAATTTTTTTTTTTAACTGAAAGAAATTACTCTTCCCATGAGGTAAGGCAATTAAGTAATTTGATTGTATTAAGTTGTATTAAAAATAATCTACTAGATTTTAGGTATAAATAAATTTTAAAGGTACGACTCTTAAGAAATCTCATGTAACCGATTAAATTAGTTCAGAGAACACAAGCCAGTTTTTACCTTGAGAAAAATATCTCCACATATAACTCCTGTGTAAATTAGAACTTTTTTCCCTCAAATTATTTATCCCCTCTTCTTTGCATACAATTCCTTTCATATCACCCAACAGGTATCAGAGAAGATGACGGAGAGGTAATGATTAAGGCCATTCAAACGTAGATTAAATGTCTAAAGGGCTGTCTTTGATGCAGGTGATCAGAAAATGCTTTGTATTCAGCTACTACTTTTGTACAGTGGTGGTCCCCAAATTGCATCTTTGCTTTCATCTATAAATCTCTTCTAAAAACAAAAAGTAAAAATGGAGCTTTAGTATTTTAACAAGTGAATCAAACAACCGCTCTGACAAATCACTTGCATTCTTGTCTACAGTATGGTGGTGGCAAAATAGCAATAGAGATCATGTAAGATTTAGCTGAACATGAGTAATAGCACACGTACATTTCCAGAAAATACCACATTTTAAGAAGGCACTAAAGCTTCTGCTTGTGCTCCCATATTTTTTTTAACAAATAAGAAAAATTTATTTTCATAATGGCACCTGTACTATTTGCAGCTGAACAGACACACTGCAGTACGGCTCAAAGCAAAGCTGTAAGTTCTGATAACATCATACAGATGTGCTCACTTCCAGAAGGACGAAAGAAAACAACAAAAAACAAACAACCCCAAAATAACCCTCTAAGCTAACCTATTGTCTATAACATGGCAATGTTTCTTTCAGGAGCAGAAAAGTAGCATGCATTGTTCAAATACTTGAAAAGAAATATTAATTTTAGGGATATTAGTAAGAAATTCTTTTAAATAATAAAACCCAAGAATCTCAAGCAGTGAGCAAATGAAAAACATACTAGTCAGTGGGTATTTAACATAAGAACCGTAAAACTGCATTTATGTTTAAAGACCCTTTCCCTATGTTGTCATTTACAACAAAAGAAAGTGTGTATATTTATGCACCATTTCCAAGCACATCAAACAGTACACATTGAAATTTTTGTCAATTTTTTAACCCACAAGGTAAAACAATACAAAATTCATCAACAAGCAGTATTTTAAACAACCTTCAATGCATATCTTCAGCTTTTTTTGGGTAGTACAGGTTTACATCTTTCAGTTCCTATTTATTTGTAACAGCTTATGGCAAAACTTAACATAAATCATTTTACAAATAAGTACAGCCATCATGGAAATGTGTGGATTTTCAGAGATGAATAGTTCTGATGGCATCTGCCTTTTCATGGTGTAACTACTGGTCCGTGCTCTCTTGCTTTACAGCAAGAAGACAACAAAGCTATCACAAGAATTGGAAGAGCTACTTAGTACTATCAACACATTCAGGTTGATTGCTTTGACATTTTCTTCCTCATTCTGGGAAATAAAAAGCTTTGGATTTCATTCCTTAGTTGAATCAAGAGGTCCGTTCTTTGCTTTAAACCTCCTCCATTTTAATTGAGAGGTTTTCTTCATTTGGTTGACAGTTCCCATTCTGTTGTAGCTTGATTTCATCTGTCCTTTGTGTGTCTCTGTTGTCTACTTCCTTGTCAGTTTCTGAGTTCTGATCCTCTTTAGCGTGATCTTTGTCCTACCAAAGATAAAGTTATTTTACAAAAAAATCATAGTCTTAGCATTACAGGGTATGACTTCCAACCAACTCTTGATATTTTTATTGTCTCAATTTTTACATGCCTATCTTGTCTCAGCGATTTTTAGAATATAAGTGTCAGCTTATTTTCCTTTTTTTTTAAATAAAAAAAGCTTTCTTTTCAACTGGCTCAAATTAGGCACTCGTAAATGACCTGTCATCCAAAAAATCACTGCCATAAAGTGATCTGTCTTTACCATCAATATCCAGAAAAACCAGAACAAGCAGCATCATGGAACCTATGAGAAACAGCTCCAGAAGTTAAGATTTCACCATATTTTCTAAATAAAATAGGATTAAATTTTTTCTTTCATATTTTTTGTCAGGTATCTGATGCATTTTAAGAGAGTTCTTGAGTAAGATAATTACTTAAGCTTGTGGACAGAGTCACCTAAACCAGATGGTTTGTAACAGCTGAATAATTCTGAGTACACAAATTACTCTTCAAAGGTATGCTGCTTTTCAAATTCTAAGATTAAACAATTTGAAGATGTTTCTTTTCTTAATAACATCACCTTCTATCTATTTTGCAGGGGAAAATCCCATACCACTCTTCCCCAACTCTTCAACTTTACTCCTGCAGAGTCCAATACACAGACCAGGACCAAAGCAACCAGGGAGAGGCTGCACTGCAGAATGGAAGTTTATTAAAAAAGTAATCTTTTCAGCTTGACAGCCAAGCTGTCCCTGAATGCTGCTCCTCAGTTACACCGTCTGCTTCCTGCCTGCTCATACAGGTAGGCAGCCAGCCAAGTCCTAACATACGGCACAGAACAGGAAAGAGAAACCAAAGCACAGTGTTTCCATAACCTATTCACACAAACTCCCGTAAATCCAGTAAAGTTCAAACATGGAGATTTATCAAACTGGCCCACTAACACCAACTGTAGGTCTCCAACTGGCAAAAGCTAAACCCAAACAGTAACAATTTGGTAAGGAAAACAGGAGAAAAAGAAGGGAGGGGGGAAAAGAAGTGAAAAGAAGGGAGGGAATTTCAATAATGGCTCCAACAGCACAACTTCACTCTGCTTATCATTTGCTCACACAGCTTACCTTCAAAGGAGCGGTGCTTCTGTCAGATTTCTCCTTTCCCTCTTTTTCTTTACTACTTTTTTTTTTTGATGTGGAGCGTTCTCTTTCTCTTCTTTCATTATTTGTATCTCTTTCTCTTTTTTTTTCTTTCTTGTTTCTGTTTAAGAAAATTTTTACTCAAATCAGAATTTAATCCAACACCAGCAACCTTCACATCATTTAACTGCAAACTAAGCTCTCACCTGCAGGCTGTCCAGAAAAACCCAAAACATAACAAAAACCCCTTCATAATGACAAGGGGATTTTTTGACTTAAGAGACCTAAGGAATGCATGTGTTCAGTACGCATGGTATTTGCAAAGAGAAAACCAAATCAATCTCTATCGGATGAAGGGCTTTTATTGGTTTGAAGCAAATCTGCATTGCTGACAGATTTGAAACTCTCCAGCTGAAAGCATACCAAAGCTCAAATCCATCAAGGTTTTTGTTTTGTTTGTTTTAAATTAAAAGTGAATCATACTGACCAACTGAAATCACATGAGATTATTAGCGCAAAGGCAGTAAAACAATGAAAATACTATAAATTCTTCCTCCTTTACTGCTCATTAACTTTTATGTTTACATCAAACTGACCTTCTTGGAGAAGGAGTTCGTGAAGACTTCCTTTTTGTTGTTTTGGATGTTTTAGGAGACTTGGACGGACTTCTGCTCTTCCTTTTACGCCTTTCTCTACAGGACAAAGAAATTGAAGATCATCAAAGAATAAAAATAATAAACTCAGGAACGGGATAAAAACAGAATGGTCTTAAAGTGATCTGACAGAAGAACTAAGTAGATATCCTTGAAATCAACACTGTATCACCAACAATATATGAACTGTACAAAGCAAAAAAAAACCCCAACTTCCTATGTTTCAGTTTGGTGAGAAAGGGGAGGCTGGAAGTGGGAAAAAAAAGATTGTGCCCTTTCAGATTTTAGTTTTTTGTTTATCCTCACAGGCTTGTACTTACACCTGATAACAGTGGAAACACACTGAATTCACTAATCCTGTATTAAGCAGGAGTTTCGTCTGTCAGGAGAAGAATCCAATTGAATGAAGAGTCACATTAAGACAAAAGGCATAACTTGAGCAATACGAACCTCATAACATTACAACCTGAAGATCATTGTAATTTCAATTCAGCCTGACTGAAATTTAATTCCTAAATACACGAGCTACCATTCCTATTGGTTTAGAAGCAAACAGTGCAAAAATGAAGCGCAAGCCGTTATCAAAATCAGAATAAATAAGTTAGTATCTGTTGTTTTCCTAGCAGTTCTTGCTCAGCAAACAGAATGTTTTAATTCTGTAACACACTGAAGAGCTCGTAGTATTTTACAAAACAGCTGTTTTACATAGATATATGGAATGTGCTGAAGTTGCTATTATGGAGTCTGACTTTGAATAGACCACCACATTGCAGATGACACCAAACTGGGTGGCAGTGTTGATCTGCTTGAGGGGAGGAGGGCTCTGCAGAGGGACCTGGACAGGCTGGATCGATGGGCCAAAGCAAACTGCATGAGGTTCAATACGGCCAAGTGCCGGGTCCTGCACTTGGGTCACAACAACGCCATGCAGTGCTACAGGCTCGGGGAAGAGTGGCTGGAAAGCTCCATGGCAGAAAAAGACCTGGGGGTGTTGGTTGACAGCTGGCTGAATATGAGCCAGCAGTGTGCCCAGGTGGCCAAGACAGCCAACAGCACCCTGGCTTCAGTTTTGGGCCCCTCACTGCAAGAAAGATGTTGCATTGCTGGAACATGTCCAGAGGAGGGCAGCAAAGCTGGTGAGGGCTCTGGAGCACAAGTCTGATGAGGAACGGCTGAGGGAACTGGGGTTATTTAGTCTGGAGAAGAGGAGGCTGAGGGGAGACCTGATCGCCCTCTACAGCTGCCTGACAGGAGGCTGTAGGGAGGTGGGGGTCGGCCTCTTCTATCTGGTAACAGGCAATAGGACGAGGGGGAATGGTCTGAAGTTGCGCCAGAGCAGGTTTAGGCTAGACATTAGGAAAAACTTCTTCACAGTAAGGGTTGTCAGGCTCTGGAATGGGCTGCCCAGGGAAGTGGCTGAGTCCCTATTCCTGGAGGTATTTAAAAGCCGGGCAGACGAGGTGCTTAGGGACATGGTTTAGAGGTGGGATGGCAGGGTTAGGTTAAAGGTTGGACTTGATGATGTTAAAGGTCTTTTCCAACCTAGACGATTCTATGATTAAACAACTGGTCACAAACATACTGAGGCAGGTGTTAAAATAAAGCAAAAACTGGTCCAGTAAAGCTTCATTCAATATAAACAGAGAACCTATCTCTGCCAAAGTAAGATTATTTTTTCCTATCACCTCTTCACAGAGGAAAAATGGGCAGGAAGAACCATCAAAGAAAAACAGGTAAGTTAAAAATTAATGCAGAGGGCACTTCAAGATAAGGCACAAAGGCTATACTTAACGCGTACCAGCTTTTGCAATTCACACCATTAGGTGTGAATATATATCTTCAATATTTAGAAAGGACAAGAAATCAGCAGTTATTAGATAAATTACAAAAAGATATATTAAGATACACCTAGTATCACAACCGGGATTGATACTCTGACAATACCATCTACTGTGACCTCCTGAAGCTGCACAGAACAAAATTTCATAACTATTTTGTTCGGGTAAGCTCTTAAGTTTGATTCAATCTTTGGTAAACAAAAATGTGAAGCAGCTTCAAAATCATGGAGAAAATAACACGATCACTGATGAGCTGTTCACTAGTTAACACATCTCATTTTGAACACCTTCACATTTATCGTCACCTTTTTTCAAATGTGGACACTGGAAATTGATATATTATTCTGACAGTGCTCCCACCTGGGCTACATTGAGTATATCTCCATTTTATTTTGCTTTCCAGCATACATATCTGTGAGTAACCAAGTGCCTTAGTAATTGCGTTCAAACTAGAAACTGTTTATTCACGAGATCTTCAGTTTCTGCTTCTCATATTTCATTTGTCTATACAAAGATTTTTGTGCACCTGTTTTTTTAATGCTCTTAAGCAATGCTAAAACAGCAAAATTTAAGAAAAAAACAAGTCTGAATACTTAGTGATCCTGTGTCTCAATCATATACAGAACTACCACACCTATCTCCTCTTCCTCTAGTCTGTGTCTCTTCCTTCAGCTAGGAACCACAAATAGCCATCTGATTTCTAGTACTTGCATGCTGTCTGACAGTAAAGCAAGGTCAATTGCCACCTAGTTCTTAGAAGGTCCTGTATGTCCTATTCCACCTTCACCTCCAAACAGACAATTTGTCCAGTACTTTACACTCATCAGGCAGAGGAGCAGCTGTCCCAACTCAGTGCCACACTGTAAATCCAGGCAGCTGAAATGCCGGTTTGTTGGATCATCTTCTCCAGAAAGGTTTGTAACCATTTCAACTAGGCAGCATCAGTTGCCAAGTAAACAGATACCCCTAAATGCAAGCTAACTGGGACCTATTCACAATTACTTTTCAGAGAGTAACATAATTACTGAGGTTGGAAGAGCCCTCTGGAGACCACCTAGTCCAACCTCTCCCTTCCCCACCTTAAAACAGTGTCAACTAGAGCGGGTTACTCAGGACCACATCCAGTCAGGTTTTTAGTATCTCCACGGATGGAGACTCCATAATCTCTCAGGGTAACTGGTTCCAGTTTGCCAGAAAAAACAGAATTTAAACATTAGAAAAAAGTGTTTATTTCCTGTACATCAGTATGTGCCTACTGCCTCTTATCCTGTCACTGGCCCCCACTGAGAATTCTGGCCCTGCCTTCTTCACACTCTCCCCATCAGGGATTCATACACATTGGTAAAATGCCCCCTTCAGCCTTCTCTTCTCCAGGCTAAATAATCCCAGCTCCATCAAGTCCCTCCTTGTATGACAGATGCTCCAAGCCCTTTGTCAGTTTCACAGCCTTTCACTGGACTCACTCCAGTATGTCTGTGTGTCTCTTGTAATGGGAGCCCAGAACTGGACACAGGATTCCAGATGTGGCCTCATCAGTGCTGAGGAGAGGGAAAGAATCACCTTCCCTGACCTGCTCACAATGCTGCCTATTGCAGCTCAGCATACTGCTGGCCACCTTGGCTGCAAGGACACTCAGGTCCTTTTCTGCCAGTCAGCCTTCCAGCCAGTCAGCCCCCATGCTGTACTGGTGCAACGGAGTTATTCCTGTCCAGGTGCAGGACTTGGCCTTTCTCTTTGTTCAACTCCATGAGTTGCCTGTCAGCCCATTTTTCCTGTCTGTCAAGGTTTCTCTGAAAGGCAGCGCAATCCTCTGGTGTACCACCCTATCGCCCCAGTTTGTTATTGTCTGCAAACTTGCTGAGGGTGCACTCTGTCCCACTGCCTAGGCCACTGATGAAGGCGTTCAATGGTGTTGGCACCAGTATTGATACTCAAATGATAATGCTGTATCTGAAGAAAGAATTGTAAATCCACATAAAACCCTATTTTTTTCATCTTCCATCTTCAAAGAACATTGTCCTTTTTTAGTAACATCTGTATAAAAAAAATTAACTTTGTATCAAAGTAGGGTTTTGTAGCGTGAGTCTACTAGAAGAGATACACTAATTTTCACCAGAATTCTTTGCCCAAGTACATGGCATTTGAGCCTTCCAGGGCACTTTCTTAAATAGCAAGATTCTAAAAGGGGAACATAATTGTAGCAAACTAGAGTATGAATTTTTGGTAACATCCAGATAACACTTGCTATTTGAAATTAGGAACTGGGTCTTCCACCAAAGTTCTTATATAAACTACACAGTGTCAGTATTTTAAATCGTTTTTCTGCATTTATCTAATTTGACACTCCTGAGGCCTACAGACAGAAAATGTTATGTTTTCAAAGCTGGCAGAACTACCTCTCCTCTGTGTAGGTCTTCAACCCATGAAATAATTTTAAAAAGGCAATAAAATGGGAAGCTGTATATGCTTAATGAAGCCACAGTGTTTTGCTCAGCTAGATGGCTGAGCTTGTTCGTAAGATCTACGGACCAACACCGTACAGTAAGTAAGTAACCAAGGAACTATGAAACAGTGACTCAAACTTTCATCAGGAGAAAGATAATGTGTGATGTCGCTTTATCAGAACTTTTGGATAGCTCCAACACAGAGAAATGTCACAAGAATCACCCTCTTACTGTCCTGAAGGATTATACTATATGGTCATGTGAAAGGCAAGCATGAGCAGCCCCACAAGAAACTATGTTCTACCAGGCATCATACAGAGCTCTTTGTAACTTTGTAGGAAAATCTACAAAACAGAAATAATACAAATTTAATTAGGAAGACACGTGTTGATATTGATACATAAAAACTAGGATGGTGCCTCACTGAACTGACAAGTCAAAAAAAGCACAAAAAAATTCTAAACAAACCTGCTGGAGCTACGAGATCTTCTTGAAGAGCTATAGCTTCTTGGGGGTGTTCTGGATCTTTTCTCTTTCTTCTTTTTATCATCTTTCTCTTTTTCTCTATCTCGCTCCTTCTCTTTATCCCCATCCTTTTCTTTTTCCTTGTCTCTGTCCTTCTCTTTGTCCCCTCCTTTGTCCTTATCTCCCTCCTTGTCCTTAATCTTCTCTCTGTCCTTCTCTCCTTCCTTCTCAGTATCTTCTTTTTCCTTGTTCTGCTCTACCTCTTCCCTGTCTTTTTCCTTCTCCTTATCTTTCTCCTTTTCCCTGTCCTTGTCTCTGTCCCTATCTTTGTCCTTATCCTTGTCCCTGTCCCTGTCCTTGTCTTTGTCTCTGACTCTTTCTCGATCTTTGTTTCGCTCTTTATCTCTCTCCCTGTTTCTCTCTTTATCTCGTTCTCTGTCCCTGTCTTTGTCTCGGTCTCGGTCCCTCTCCTTCTCCTTGTCTCGGTCTCTCTCTTTCTCCTTTTCTTTGGCTTTTTCTTTTTCCTTGACCTTTTCTTTGTCTCTTTTCTTGTCCCTGTGAAAAGCCAAACACAAATCCATTAATTCATCTTTGAACTTTCCAATTAAAATTACAACTAACTCTTTAGCATACACTAATTGCTCAAGATAAAGTACATGTCTCTGTTGAAAATCAGTAATTATTCAATATTTTAATTTTCCACCCCTGTTCACCATGAGGGAAATGTTATATAGCTATGAAAAAATTGGAAACCAAATTGCAGAAGGGGAGGCCAAAATAAAGTCAAACTGTGATCTTCAGAGAGATGTTACTACACTTTGAGAGATTATGTCTCTTCACCTCACAGTCATGTTACTATACTTACATAAATTTTCTACATTTTGTTAGTGGTGAGACAAACTTTGCAATCCATAAATCTACTCTTTACTAAAAATGTGTCCACATAAAATGGACTGCAATTAACCGCCCCCACATGAATAATGACAGATGACTGGCAGAAGTCTATTCTACAGTGTTCTCTCACACAGATATCCTGGAACTGCTTGGAAGCCCAACAACAATCCACAGAAATAAAAAAAAAAAAAAGGGATAAAATTTCACTAAACAAATTCCCTCGAAAAGGCAAATTTAAGGTCAAAACTCAATTAAGACAACTCAATGATCTGTAATGTCATTAGGAATTTGATAATTACTGAAAAATTATTAGTACAGTAAAAACAGAAGAAAGGATAACAGAACAAGTCAGCTTCTTTGGAACAGGCAGAATGATACATGTTCATAAAAAGAACAACAGTGAAGAAAATTCCAACTGATGTTCTAGTCATTAAGCCAAAAAAAAATTGATTATATCACAGCTTTGGCTGGAAGATGACATTTTGGTATAGGATTATTTGGAAGTGCAAGACTCCATCTTTACTTTATGGCAGAGAGACACAGGACTCCTTGACCTGCCTCTAGGACCTATGAAAATGAACAATTGTTCATAGAGAGAAACAGGATAAAGCACAAGAGGGGAAGTTGATTAGCAGACCTTTACATGCCCAAGAGAACCAGACTGACAGAAGCTGCCATGTCTATTATATTGGTACCTATTCCAGGATTTTTAAAGATTCTTAAAGAGACCCCTTCATGCATGAAAGGTCCTAACACAGCCCCCACCTTTCTTCAGTGGAAGAAGTGTTTGGCTGTATCTTCTTTTCAACTGCTAATAAACAGTAGGCTGTTGTATGCTCTGTGACCTGACAACTTTGGTTGCCATCAGGTTTTGGCAAACATTTCTTTAGAAGTCTCAGAGAAGGAATGTAAGATCATAAAGATGAAACAGCATGCAATTCCTGCAACAGCAAATAGTCTCACAATGACCCAAGAAGTGCCTTCTAGTTAATTTATCACAGAGATTTCATTGGACTTGCCCCTTCCAATGACCACATATCTCAAGAAGCTCCAGACAATGGCAACAGAGAATCAAAAGGATCCATCAATAAAGTCCAGCTAGCTATGTAGACTATTCCTGTTTCCACTGTGGTCCACAGATCTGCAGTTCTCTTTCCCACAAAACTTCTTCCCTCAAAAAATAAGAGGCAACTGCACAACCCAAGTATGAAGCTCCCTTTAAATCAATCAGGAATTACAGAGATGAAACAGAAAGAAAAGTAGCAAGACTTCTATTTGTGAAGCTACTTTCAGAGGCACTTTTGTTTTGTGAATATTCACTACTTCATCCCTCAGAAAATTAATGCTATTATCTTATTGGAATTTCACAGTTCAATACTTAGACAATCATATTTAAAAATTAATAGACTAGACAAAATATAGGTGTATTAGATCCTGAAATATGAGTATGCTATATAACAGGCACATGCATTTGTGCCCACAGCAGTGTATGGCCAATATGAGATAGCCAAAGGTGAAATTAAAAGCTCATGCACAAAAACTTCACGTCTGTTCTCAGAATGCATGATCGAGTTCAGCCTGAATCCAACCTTCTCAACAGAAAGAGGTCGAACAAGCATCATCCACTTTTTTGTGGGTTGCACAGGCTACACAGAACATTCCTAACCTACTGGTTCCAGCCTGGTGTATTTTTGGCCAGCTTGCATGTTGGTATAAATGTAGACTAGACTATCAAAGTTTAGGTACCTGAAGTGTGGTGGTTTAACCCACACAGGCACCATATAAGCCACTATGAAGAAAATTAACTCTATCCCAGCCAAAACAACTGCACTCAGCATTAAAATTTACTTTCTATTCTTTTGTCCCACAGACAAAGCCTAGGGACAGGCTAAAGCATTTAGAGATTCCACCCTTCACCATCACCTAAACGGTTTGTCAGATTTTTTTTTTTTAAAAACTCTGTACTGTGTGTGAAGAACAGTATCATTTCTTAGGAATGTAACTCACCGAGAACGAGAGCGACTTCTTGATTTCCGCCTTTCCCTAGATCTAGACCGTTTTTTCAGGGGACTTCTGGATCTGCGTCTGTCCTTGTGTCTTGAGAGTGATCTGTTGCCAGATCTACTTCTATGTTAACAATGCCAGAAGAAAAATACTTTAATATTGAAACTTCATAAAAATTAGGTCATCCAACAAAAGAAAAAAACCCGTCGATCTTGCCTCACTACATAAAATTATATAAAGAATTACATTTTGGTAATATATCACCTGTGAACACTTGTGCAAATACGGATACTTTATGGTTCACCAGGTGCACATGCCCCCCTTTGAAACAATGCACCATTTAGGTAATACCCATGTTTCATAATAACCTACATGAACATTTTGGAAGATATAAATTCTATCATATTAGGAAAGCTGTCCTTAGTAAATTACAGTGCGTAATATCTACTATAGACAATTTCTAGCAGCTTGTAAAAACAATTAGCTACATTTTGTTTCTTTTCCAGTCCCAGTTACTTATTGCAGTCTTGGTCACTGAAGAAAGATGGCTTTAACTGGTCTCTTTCTGCTTTGTTCTCCAGCCTCACAATTTAAATGAACTTTAAAGAAACAAACCAAACCAAACCAAAAAAAACCTCCACTATCTGCAGTTCAGCATTTAGTCAAGCTACCTTTTCAGTTGAAAGGAATTGTTAGCATGAATTTCAATTATAAGAATTCTCAAGGAAAGGAATGAGCATTTACTATATGATAAATAAGGAATGCAAATAATGTGCAGATACTCTGACAAAAATCCAATTAAAGTCTTCTGATAAACATATATAGTATAGATGCAGATTTCATGAACGAGACCTTTTAAAAATTACTATGTTCTTTTTTTTCCAAAATATTCCCTATTTTTGGAAGATCATACTCCCTAGGAAAGCAAAAATAAAAAGCTGAATTTGAACATTAACTTTCAAAAAACTGCATCATTGGATACTTTGCCTGAGAGGTTAAGGTACCATGAAGTTTAACTTACCAAAGACAGAAAGACCATGTATATTAGTCAATAAATCCTGAAGAACAGGGAGGTACAAAAAATACCAGCTCCACCTGTCTTCTGCAGCTCAAGACACACAGAATAATATATCCCAAGATGAGAGGAGAGGCAACCATTTTTTACCTACAGCTTGGCTCTCCTTATTAATACAGAAATACAAACTAACTACAGGGCAAATTAATTACAACTGAGTCAAAATAAGACCTTGAATAAATTTTTTATCATAGAGATGAAAATGATTTAAGTGTTTTATAAAACAGTGAAACAGGGAAGTGGTCAGGACAGTTTATTCTTAGGGATGAAGTTGCCTCAACAGATCAGACTGGCCTTTTTTGAGCATGTTCTCAAAACTGGCAGTAGCTGTGGTAAATCGTTTAAAAACAACAACAACAAAATATAACCATCAACAGCTGTTTGAAGTACAAGTTTTCCACAAGTTAAAAAAATGCAACTTCATCTTCCAAAAATCAGTTTGGTTTGTGTGAACACAAAATAGTACTGAGATTACTGCAGTGTTACAGAAAACAAAGATTGCTTTTCAGTTAGGTCCTGAGTTAGAGAATCTGCCGAGAAGCAAGCAATAAGGAAGTGACCAAACGATTCTTCTTACAGTACCTGTAATCTAATGACGTAGAAAGGTACCCAATATTTTAATGTCATTAGATTACAGGTACTGTGGTGTCTCGCTATTGCAAAACTGAAACCTGTACTTATATTTATTTGATAGTATAATTGACGATAATTCCCTCTGGCCAGCTTTTCTGTACCTAAAGGAATTCTAGTTGCCTTGTTAAAAGATGATGCATGAACAGATGCAACACAGCTGTTGCTGCAACACTGACAACACCTTTTTAAAGTGTAAGCTAGCAAATACATCCTGATTTTTTTTTTTTTTTACACGTAATGTAGCCAAATACCTTCAGATTGATTACATAAATGCTCAGAAGACATTCCTGTACCATTTCAGGAAGCATTTGTAAGTCTCACATAGCAAGGCTGTCTCATTCTTGGAAAAAATCTTAATGGGTATACTTCAAGGGTGATCTAGGAATTTCATTTCCTCCCATATTCCAAAGCCTGTTTCTGAACTGAACAAATGTAGCAAAGCAAATAAAGTCTGAAGAATGAAAAACTGCCCCTAGAGCCTTTTTCTTCTGCTTTGAAAAACCATAGCTTTACATTTACAGTACAGTAAATTAAAAAACTTGATGTTTAGAAGTTCAGGACATCAGGAACTTTCTACTAGCAGAACGAGCCAGCCTATCTGCTCAGGTGTTAACAGAAAACTAACATGTTCAATCCACAAAATACACTTAACTATTTCTTTTTACGATACAGGTCACAATATTATATTATGCTACATGGCACAAAATGTACCATGAAACCACAGAAATGGTTATGCTACATGGCAAAAGAAGTGCCTTCTAGTGCAAAGATTTAGAGTGAAAGAGTATCTGCTCGAAGACAAAGTTCCTGGTTACTGTGATCTGCTCAGTATAAGTTAGTCATCTTCTCTACAGGGATACCTGTTTTACAACTCAGTTAGAAATCTCGGTAACCACCACCACTCAAGAAAACCCACCTTGATCTCTTAGTACAAAGTGAAAAACATACCTACCTGTGTTTTGAGTGTGATCTTTTCCTTCTAGATCGGGATTTTGAGCTAGACCTGGATTCTGAACGAGAATGGGAACGAGATCGACCGCCTTTTCTTTCACTGCTCTTTCCAGACTCTGAGAGGAAAAAACCACTTTGCAGTGTAAGCTCAGAACATTTAAAGATCCCAGTTAACAATCTGGCACAAGTGGAATGTACCACATATAGTGCAAGGGGCCTACTCTTTGCACATCTTCCTTCTTTGCAAATATCCTTCAGAAACATCCAAGAAAGTCATTGCATATACTCGTTGAGTGCAGCCATCCTGCAGCAGTACACATAAACCAGATAATTATAAACAGCTAGCTCTATTAGGAATGGGATTTATGTTGCTGCCACAATGCACAAGATCACAACATGTTCTCCTCTTGGTCTATTATTTAATACAATTACTTTTTTTTTGCAAACAACCTGAGAAGAATAGAGTAAATTTAGAGGGCATAATTTTGAAAACAAGCATAAAATGTAAATAATAATTAGTACTTTCTATACTTTTAGATATTTCAACTACTGTAAAAATATTGAAGTCTTATTCCTCAATCATTGTTTTGTGGGAGGAAGGGATAGAGGGAACAGGGTGAAAAGTTTGATCCAAAGGCTAGGAAGTCAACAGAAACCTTAACAGTGACTTCACCAGACTTTGATTCAGACTCCAGAAGATTGTTATTCTGATGCCTAACATTGAACAAATGTTAGAGCTATTTTTCTTCCAACCCTAAAAAGCAACAGAAAATACTCACCCACCCCCCCAAAAAAACCCCTTAAGACTCCACACTGTCAAACCTACATAAGATAATGGCTGGGTTTGTTAGTAAGAAGACAAATCTCACTGATGAAAAGAAAAAGAAGGATCTCAACTGCAAGTTTAACAAGCTGAGATGTTTTTAATGCTGTGGTTTTGCAATCAGCTATGGTTTTTAAGTCAGCATAAATCAGCACTGAAATGTCTGTCTAGCCTCTCAACCACCACCACCTTCCTCCTTGACCTGGCATCTCAGTGTTAACAGGCATCAGGGAACCAATCTGGATGAAAAGATGTCCTTTACAATATGCTAAGTTTTACCCCAGATTCATTCTCTGATCCCATTTGCTAAGAGGATGCACACAGTCTTGAGCCAGCATGAAAAAGAGCATAGCAAAGGACAAGATTAACATGCTGCACATAAGGAAAGCAGAATATTACTGCTTTCAGAACCATGCTAGCTTCTTCTGATCGTGAAACTATGACATTAACGGGTGCTAGAGGAGAATAAAACAAAATATAAAACATTTTCTTTTAAAAGTTTGTAAGTACTCTGAACTTAAAAAGCACTGACATTAAGTATTAATTCAGTATTAACCTTGTATTTCTGAAAACATTCAGTGAGCATGTATCTGAAAATAGGACATGATGAAATTAAAAGTCAGTTTCATTCCACTGCTTTGTTGCACAAACACAATTTCGATTCTTTTTTTTTCCAACACACATTGTTCACCTCTGAGTGCCCTTTTGCTGTGTTTGAAAATGCTCTTAAAAACGTGTGCCAAGGTATACACGCAACATGTCTGTTAGGTAATGAACATAATATACGTACCTGGCTCTATAGCAGCAGATATGAACGACTGGGCTTCCCTTACTCTCTTCATCACTTCTTCCAGTTCCTTGGCAGCAGCTTGTGGTGTCATTTCAGGAGGCTTCACTATTGCATTATTGGAGTGATTTATTCTAAATTAAGGAAAAATAAAACCTTTAATTCCCAAACACTTGAAAAGGGAAAATTAAAAACTAAGGAAGGAAAACACCTCAGCTTCCACGTATGACTAAAAACTTCAAAGTTCAGCAAAACTGGATTTGTCCTAACACTCATCTGTTTTAAGTATCTGAAATGTCTTTTATTGCTTTCAAAGCTTTGCAGCACAATATTTCTGTGTTAAAATATTTTCTAGTGGAAGTCTAGGAATCTTTTTCTCTATTTCAGATGAAATCTCTATTTTAAGCCCTACTAATTACATATATATCATATAGAAAGCTTAACTAGTACTAAGAACTTTGCAGATTCTTTCACTATTATAACTTCCACTACCTCAAGATTAAATATATTTTACTTGATGCCATCCATATTCTTCTTAGAGAACGTTATGCCCAACCTTGAAATTGGAGTTTCTAAAAATGTTCCAGTTTGCTAACAATAGGTCCTTATATTGAAAAAATATTCACGCACATCGGAGTCATAAATGTGTAAGGATACAAAGAAATGTCTCATTCAATAGTCATATGGATAATTAATTTCTTACTTCAGTGGCCTGTCTCCAAACATAACTCCATTAAAGGCAAGAGCTCGAGGTACAGAATTTTGGTCTGCAAATTCCACAAAAGCAAATCGCGTTGGTTGCGTCTCATCACCTGCCATTCGCACGAATTTGACTTCTCCAACTTGCTTAAAGAATTCAAGCAACTGATCTGCTGTTGTAGTCTAGAAAGAGTCGAAGAGCTCAGCTGAAGTAAAATATATAATGAAAACCACTTATCCAATATATCAGGTAATCTAAAAGCTACAGAATTGGAAAGATATCTCACCATTACTACACAGGCAACATGAGTCTGGTAATGTTACATTTTAAGAAAGGCATTTTTTCTTCCATTAATCTAAAGAATATACTACAATTTAAAATAGTGCAACCACAACCCCTGAAGTCCTACATCTAGTTTAAAAAAGCTTTTTTTGCACTTTTCAGGCAACTCATTTGAAATAACTGATGAGGAATTTCCTTACACACTTTGTCCAAGCTATTGACTGTGAATTTTTATCAATTAAAAAAAAAGTCCAAACAATATTACAAGACTTAGTTTATACCTGTTTTTCTACTAGCTTCCAGATTGGCTTATTTTATTATGAACGATAGTACTTTTACATTCTAGTGGCTACTTTGGCAGTCAAAAAACCCCAAAATAACATACTTATATTGCCATCAGTCAAAAGCAAATTGGTTTTCAATTAATTCAATCAATTCCCGAAAAAACAAGTTTCTGACAGACCTTATTTTCTGTTAGAGAAACTCAAAGGTATTTATGAATTTTGCAACATCCACTAAGACACATCATTCATTTACTGTACTTAAGCAACTGCACAGTGTTGTGGGGGACAGCTACCATGATCTCATGACTTCTGAGGCATTGCTCAGCTAACACAACCCAGCTGGGCATTTGATCAACACACAATCATAAGTGTGTTTCCTGAATTCAGCTACAGTGTGATTTCTCTGGTATCCTGCCAGAATGAATTCCACAGTCTGGACTGATCTGATTGGCACAGGAGCATTCAGAATTTGAAATAACACTAGTAACCAAAAATAATTTTTTTTTTGTTTAATTTCCTATTGTTGTCCACTAATGAAAACTCTTTAACATATAAGGTTAGAATCCATAAATTACAGTTCTACACTTTTTGTGTATTTCCATTACACAAAAAAAAGCTACCTGGGAATTCAAGTTTCCAACATAGACTGTTCTCCTGATTTCATCAATTTTGGATGGATCCACATTCCCCATAATTGGTGGTTGTGGTATTTCTCCCAGTGCCGTAATATTAGGATCCAATGCTGCTGCCGGTATAGCCCCCAAAGTGCCAAGTGAAACACCCAGCTGGAAAACACAAAAACAGAATATGCTTTGCAACCAAGCACTGGCGGGAAACACTTTACCTGTTAACACTTGCCTGCCGTGTGCATTTCTGTAAAAATAAATCTAATGAATATAGGCAATACTTTAAACTTTGAAGTCCCAGATGAGCACTTTTCTAGAAGAATAAAAATCTACCCATAAATAACCTTCTGTAGTTAAGATCTTCTGTGAGCTATCAGTTGAAATCTTACCAAAGAGATCTGGCCAGGGATGCAGTATATCAATCAGAAGACATATAGGCTTGAATTTCTAATGCTTGCAGTCAGGTAAATTGAGTAACGTGCCTTCACACACTGCTGACATTCTTATTTTTTTGCCACAACAAGTATTAGGAGTAGATAAGGAACTGCTGAGCCTTTGCCCAGCAAGGGAAGAAGGCAATTTGCAGTGCCCAAGGCCAACTTGTTCTGTAGTAGATACCAGTCCATCAAAGGGACACATAAGGCAAAAGGGAACTGAGCAGAAGTAGCAGCAGCTAACTCCTATGCTTTCTGTAGTAAAAATGTTGTTAGGTGACAGGACAAAAGCCCTGTCATATGGATATCAAGTAAAAGCACCCTAATGCAGCACTTTAATATTCTGAAGAACTGTGTGTTATAAAAAAAAGTCATTTAAAAATCACTACTAAATTGGTCTGCTGAGTTCCTGATTTGAATTTTATTTTCTCCACCCAAAAAGCAACTGCCTTTCCAGCAGACAAATTTTCTTACAAGTGTGAGAAATTCTCAACAAGCCACCAGTAATTTCTGTTTTATGCAACAAAAGAGATAAATACTCTATTTTAACTTGAAATTTCCCTGAATAGGTCACAGCAGCCTGCTGATGAAAGGTTTACAGAGGCAAAAGGGAACTGAGCAGAAGTAGCAGCAGCTAACTCCTATGCTTTCTGTAGTAAAAATGTTGTTAGGTGACAGGACAAAAGCCCTGTCATATGGATATCAAGTAAAAGCACCCTAATGCAGCACTTTAATATTCTGAAGAACTGTGTCAATGTGAGTATTATGTTTTAACAAATGTTTAGAAGGTGGACAGCACTGCCACTGGACCAAACAATTAAAATGACACAACCCAAATCGTTATTTACCCACTATTTTGCAAAATAATGACCTGAAATTAAAAACCAGGAAAGGTAGTGCATGGATATCCTGCGAACTACCCTCAAAAGACGCACCACAGCTAAACCCTCACTGATCTAGCATACAAGAGGACAACATCCACAGTCAGATAGTTCTTGTTCTCCAAACACAGAAAAGGCTACTGAGCATAGAGGAAACCAGAAATCAAACAGCAACTGAGTTTTACTTACTGTTGTCAAAGGGGTTGGTGTAGGTATAGGAAGCAACCCTGCACCAGGCATCAGGCTTGTCATAGTAGGAGCAGGCGCCAACAGAGAAAGGGCTTTGGCTTCATCTGGGATTTTACCTGAAGAAGCAAATGAAAGCATTACACAGAGTTGGAACACTACAAAGATGTTACTCTTTCTATCATTTTACAATTACCCTTGCATTTAAAAATGTAATAAATAACAATGAATCTATCTACCAGATCCTTACAAAGAAACAAATAAGAACTTAAGTTTTTCCTTTTACCCTGCTCTACTAGGAAAAACAAAAGTGAGCAAAACTTCAAAGACTAGCAATCTCATTAATGGATTATTATTTTAAAAACTGAATAATGTATACAATTATTTAACACTTTGAGCTATGGGTCACCTGTACTGGAAACTTAATGTTCATGAACCAAACGATATCAAGCATGGACGCTTTCCCAGGGCGGTGTTTTCGCGGTGATCGAAAGTTGTTTTACACATGACAACCGTTCGTGTTGGCTGCATCACTAATAGCACACAGAACATCAGATACAGAAAAGAAGAACATTTTTTAAAGTTTAATCCCCAGAAATGGCAAATAACCAAATCAGTAAAAGAAAAAAAAAAAAAAGAAAAAGAAAAAACAAAGTATGTGCTAACTTGTTTTTACTCCTCTGTAGCTACCTACTTTGTATGTAAAAATAAATAAAAATAAAATAAAAACTACTCAACTACTATAACTCCACACAATGCATACTACAAGTGAAGTTGGAGGTGGAGGAGGGGAGGGTAGAAAAAAATTAGATTTGTACTGTCTCACATTCTAGGTCACCTCAGTTTATCTGAAACTTTGATAAATTAGCTTTAAAATTACTGAGATTGAAGAAAAACATAAGTGGTCAGCTAAGCAAGCTGTATTTTCTCATAATCTGTATTTGTACTATTTCAGCCTGATTATATTCCCCCTATCATGCTAAAAGTTTAGGTAATATCTAACCTCAATTAAACACAGGTTTCAGCCACCATTAGTCACAATTAGACTGCTAAAAAACCCCTAAAAATCTTCAAAAATCAAAAGATTTAATAGTTAAACAATTATGATTACAATTACATGTACATATTGAATTTGAAATGCATAGGGATTTAAACTGGTACAAACATTAAACACTAAGCTGAAAAACTACAGAAAGGAGTTCTAATTATACTAGGTATATGATCTATTCAAAATTACTGGCATAATTGTATATATGCTATCCAACTGAGCCTTTTCGTATTACCCCATGCACTTTAATAACAGCAAATGTAAAAGCTTTTATTTAAACATTGTTTTAAAAGTCAAGGCGTACACAAATACTGTGCCAGTGGTTTTTACTGCTTTGGTTCAAACAGTGTATGTTTTAACTATAAACCCCCTAAGTTCAGGATTTTAAAATGAATATGTAAGTATTCTTATCCAAAAGCAAAATACGATCTAAGTTTCAAAACACTGTGCAGTTTTAGCTATATGAGTTCAAATAGACTCCACAGGAAACATACTACTTTAAAAAAATGAGAAGAAGAAAAAATCATTGCAAACCTGTTCTATAGATTTGCAGCAAGGACTGGGTTACAGTTGGATATGACCAAAGGACAAAACAAATCTAAATGAAACTTAACTTTTATGTAGCATGGGTGGAAAAAAAAAGATAAAATAACAGTACCCATTTTTTTCTCATCCTTCCTATTTACATTTATTTTATTTATGTTAAATTTTGAGGCACCTTGCTCATTAACATGTAACAAACCACTTGATTTTGCTATGTAAAAGAGAAAAATAGGAAAATTATTAGCACTTAAAAATTAAATGTGCAATAACGACTTCTAGGGCTTTTTAAGAAACATGCATGAATCCGAGTTATCATCACAATGTTCAGCACACTTTACAGATCCCATTTTGAAGTCAGGCATGCAATGAGAAGCGTACCTGATTTGCCTGACCACTTATGAGTATCAGATACTTTGCTGCACATCCTGCCTAATATGTAGCTAACTAACAGGCTTTTGAATATACAGTTCCAGCAGCTGTGCATGCAAATTAGGCGTAGAATTACATACCGGTTCTTCTGAAAATTGAAATACTTAAATGTTTTCAAGTGACTACTGAACCAGACCTTATACTGAACAGCTAGAATCTTACAATTAAATGGATACTCATGCAGGTTTCTACAGGATCAACAGACATGGCTCAAGTAAATCCAATAGCAGAAATGGCTCCTAACGTGATGTGTCTGCATTCTAATTTAGATCCTTGGACAGTAACATAGATAAGTATATGTGCTTACATACAGCCAATTCAATATACACTTAACAAGATAAACTTAAGAGATGGTTAGGCATTTAGCCCTTTTAAACAGGAACTGAGTTAGGCACATAACTAAACAGACAATGAGTCGAGTTCAGAAAGGTACTTCAATACAAGCCTAAACTTTAAGTATATGGGTCATCTTACTGAAATAATTGGAATTGTTCATTTACTCTAATGTTGCTCAAGTAATCCACTGAACACTTTCAGTTAAGTGCACTGTGATAACAGTTCAAAGAATGAATAACATGCACATCTAAACTGTAAAGTTAGCAGCATTATTTCCAGAATACTTTGGTCCTTCAACAATGTAATGTTTTCTTTTAAAACAAAATCAGTTTGTCAGTTCCATGCCACAAACATTCATTAATTTTATTCAAGGGTCTATCTCTACAGACAGAACCCTGAAAATTTGCCTGTATATTCAAAGACGCTGCCTTTTCAAAAGATCCTTCTCCAGTTTTTAAGACCAGGTTGAAATTTTTAACAACTCTATAGCAATTCTATAGAATTATTATTATTATACAATATATTACAGAATATCCTAGAATTATTTTAACAATTCTATAGAAAACAAACAGGAGTGGGGGAAAAGAAAACCTGAAATATCTTGCAAATTTACGTCCCTGTTCTTTAGACAGTTTTGAAAAACAAATTAATATGTGAGGCCAAATAACCTCACGAGTTACAGGCTTTAAGTTTTGGAGTTTTCTCCCTGCGTATTTATTAAAAAAAGGAATACAGGCCCACAAACACACCACAAAACATGTGGGTTATGACACACAAATTAGGACACTTTAAGAGTAACTATTACTTTTTTTGAACTCGTGGTATTTAAAAGCTGAGTGGAAATGAGGTAAAGATATTTATTTTCTAATGAGGGAAACAGTAAAAATAAATATGCCACATCTATATCACATCCTTAGAAAGATTTCTTAGAACCTCTTGTGTTTAGTAAATTACAGATTCTATGATCATTTATCTATTGATTCTTCACTTTGCAAAGGAATCTGGAAGCAGACGTAGATTAGCTCTGCATTGTCTAGAGACTCCTTATGCTTCTTAGGAAATGTACAGTTGTCATAAGTATCAGTTATGATTGTTACTTTTTCCTATCATCAAAGTGCTTAAGAGCCCCAGTCAACCTAGTCCATGCCAGAATCCATTTTGCTAAATGCTGAACAGAAGTAACTGCATTAAGCAAGCACAGTATTTTTGTCCCCCTCCAAGTGCTCAGAAGACATTAATTTCCTACTCTTTGTACTGAAACTACATGGTTAATCCTCCCTCCCAAAGCTGCTTCTGCAATAAGTACGTTTGCTCATTTTAAAAATCCTTGCAGTTCACAACTGCTCTAAACATAATTAAAGGAATTTTCCTGCTATTCTAAATCAATGGAAAATGCACACTTAGAAATAAAGTAACTTCTGTGAGATCCAATTCATGATTCTTATTGGATTTAGCAGCAGTGATTAAAGAGATTACACATACTGGCAATTACCTCAACTGCCACAGATAAATCCAACAGAGATCATGAAGCAAAGCTCTTCCCAGCTGCAGTGCGCTGCCTGGTGCATTACCAGAGTGAAACCAATTGATCCCAATGCAGCTGGCTGGGAAGAGCAATGCCTAGGGCTGGACACCACCTGGTCCAGCACTTCTGTTTCAGGGCTTCTGTTTCACAAGAAGAAAGAATACCATTTAGGGATGAGAACCTTCTCAATCACTCCAGCATGAAGTGCCAGGGCTTCTGAGATTGAGATGACCGAGAAGATGTTTTACTTTTTTTTTTCTTAAAGAAAAACCTCTTCTTGAAATAACCACCACTGGAGCATGTCAAAGTGCACTGTACACATACATACACACACACACGCACACAGAACTGTTTCAATCTTCCCACAAATAACAGTGTTAAAAGACAATGTGCCTCACATAATAAATTCCAACCAAAACTTCAGGCGGCATTTGTACTTATGAGTGGTAAACAGATTTTTCTGAAAGTTACAAAAGCAAAAGGATGAAATCTTACTGCCACTGACCTCACTGGAGCAAGGTTTCATCAGAAGAAAACAAATATTTCATGACACTCAATATTCATGAAAGTTCAATTTCAGAAATAATTATTTTAAACTCTTCATATTAGACATAAATAGTAAGCCTTCTTTTAAACAGACCATGCAACCTGAAATAAAACTACTCTGCTGAGAAGAGGAAAAATAGCAGAGAAAGATCATGACTTCACTTTGTAAAGCCAGTTTCTCCAGAAGTAAGAGTTGCAACTGTCCTTTTCCAAGATAAACTCATAAAGCATAACATATGAAAAAATGTATCTTAAAACTGATATATTTTTCACTATTCCTGTCTTCTGACACGAGGTGCTTATCTGTTGAATTTAGATGCTTAAACGTATTCCAAATCAAATTTATCCATAATTCACAGCATAAAAATTATTCATATTCTAAACTCTGTGTATACCATCCACCATTCATAAGCAGCTTCAGCTCAACTTCAAAATGAAACACTGTGAACCCTTTACAAAACACCATTTTTACAGAACTGAAGTACCAAAAAAAAATAAAATAAAAATAAAAGAAACAAAGGAAAGAAAGCAAAATAAAATAAAAACAGAGACAGGGCGTCCATCTTCAGCAGGCCAGACTTCGATCTCATTTCCCCCATGAAGGTTTCACTTGGCGGCAGGTTTAGTGGCATGGCAAACAATGCCTAACTCAGGCAAGTGTAACAGGTCTGCCTTGGCCAGTCTAGTCATCTAATAATGCACAAATATCACACAGAGAAAACATACAAAACCAAATTAATAGTCAAAATCCATCTACCAGATAATGTGGACATAAAATTTAGAATGATTAGGGTGGCATCTTTGTTTATCTTTCAACCTTTGCGTTTTCAAAGTATAACGTTTAAAGAAAAACCTACTGATACACGCACAAGTCACATTTTGACAGCTTAATAATGTTATTTCGTTAACAATTACATTTTTGTTAAATTGTTTATTAAATGTCACAAAATTAACATTGTTTTCATTGCGTAGTGATTCCCTCCTCATACTCCCTTGATTTACCACTGCTTAAATACACTCCAAATTTCAGATTTTATTCTGGTTTTTAAAACCAAGTTTTCAGAGTTCCATTTTACCTCTCCTCTATGTTCGATTCGGCGCATGAAATGTTTTATTACTGGCACCATCGGCCAAGGGTATAATTTTACCTCCTGGTAGAATATAGCCTTCACTACTTTTAAAGCCTGTGATACACTCCACTGACCCCATTAGCGATGCATGATATGACACATAATGAATCAAAAATCTTGCACTGTGGTCTCCAAAACCATACTTATACCACACAATAAAATCCTCAGAAAGTTAAACCTATATAAATTCATATCTTTATAAATTAAAGTTAGTGATTCTGTTACAAAGTTACATGGAAGCAGCATTCTGACATTAAAAAAAATTTGACCTCACAAACCAATCACTTGTTCATGTAATTATGCATAAATCTCTGTGGGGTCCAGAATGACTTTGAACAGTGACAATTTTGCTGTAATATGTTTTCTCAGAAATGCCTAATAAGTTAGCTACAAATGGGGTTGGAACAAAATTTCTCAGAACTTTTATTTTATTCTCTTTCCATTCATTGTCTACCATTAACAGACACAGGAAAATGTAGCTTTACCTGCCTGTTGCCATATCACGTCAGGCAGTGATCTCACCACAAGAAAAACACCAGGAAGTGTTGTTCATTCATTAGGCGGCAATCTTCCCTCTCTGGTAATACTGAACCAGTGTTAAGGTCTTTCCGATGAAACATAAAACTAAGATCCTGAATAATTTCTAGTCAATTATTTAGGGGCAATTTTTCAATAATAAGGACTCTGGTTCCATTAGTGGAATTACTTGGGAGACTTGACAGAGTTTGCTAGGAACATCCCAGACCATTATTACAGCAGCACCAATCTCATACTACCCAGATCATGATGTGGCAAACACGCCAAAAAATGGTACTCTGGGACCACTGTTAACAAACTCCAAGAAGTCAACAGTATGTTGTGAAACAAAACCTGACCCTTGCAGTTAGAAAAGTTATGTTAATAGGAGGTGTTTCTGGACTTGCTGCAGTTTATGGTTCAATCGCTCTAAATATTGTTGATCACGGCAAAACAGCTACCATGTTCAAAGTGAAGCTGGGTTCACTCCACCAGCTGGAATGTTTCCACTCCAAAGAGGCAAAAGTCCAGAACCAAATGGGCAGATGCTCAATTCCACAATGATCCCAATGAAGTCAATGGGGCTCTGCCTAAAGCAGGAATATGCCTACTGTAGGGCCGTGCTACATACAACTGTATTGAGATCTGGGATATTATTCTAACAATACGAACTACCTAATATTCAACACATGTGTAAAAGTATGGCCTCAGAGCTAGTTAAAAGAAAACTTGTAAATTTAGTATTCACCAACCATTTTATTTGACTGAGAGTTTTAAAAATGATTTACACTTGAAGCATTCTGTGCAGATCATTGCATTTTTAAAGAGATATGTGAATCAAAAAGCAGTACCAGTATAAGTAAGAAAGCCTTTTTATGGCACACAAAGTAATATTTTCCACAGTAACAAGAAAGGAAAATAGAATTTTTTTTTATTAAACTAGCAGGTAAACAATTATATTCAAACAGTAGTTATCGCCATGAATTCTAAGTTTTTTAGATTAGATTAATCTAAAATGGCCAAATGCATATATCACATCTACAAGACAAAATTGAGATTCAGTCTAAAAAAACCTGGAAAATAATCAGTATCTTAAAAAAAAAAAAAAAAAAAAAACAAACAAACCAAAACCACAACAAAAAACCCCACCACACCGAAGGTGATACATGAAGATCCAAACTTCAATGTTACCGGTACCAGGAAATTGCCTAATCTTTTCAGTGCTCCATTGACTTCAGTGAGAACTCTGTGTGAGAATAAGCTTGCCAACACAAACCATACTGATGGGAATTATTTTACCTTCTTTCACCTCAAAATATGTAGTAACTATGGAAAATTGAATTATCCTAATTTAAATCAACTACATTTTTTCTAATGCTAAATTTCAATTAAAGCTATATAATTGGGTTTCTTCATTCAATTTTCAATTTTGTTTCAAGACTTCTCTCAAAAAGCAGTAAAATAAAATAAAATAACAACAGAGCACCACCTCGTTACATGGAAAGCTTAAAACAATTAGCAGACACGACAAAGACCAACATTACAGAACAATGTCTAAAATACCAACCTTCTGCGCAGGGCACAACTATCAAAGCTCTGTCAATAAAAACCGTGTTAGTTAGATGCTGGGCCACACCAACACTCGATGCTTCACGAAACTTAATATAACATACTTTGGAGGAAAAAGCAAGAGGTGCGTTGCTGCAAGATAAAAGGAAAAAAAAAAAACAATTAGTAACATTAAATAATTGTATGTATTTATTTTTAACTATTACTCCTTAGGTTTTAGACTTCCTGGAAAAGTTAGCCAAAAGGAAAGACCATAGGAATTTACTAATTTGCCTACTTATTATACTAGTGAAAAAAGCATAGCATAGCACCTCCTCCTTTTTAATGGAAACTTATGGAAGCCAAAACACCAAATTAACAAGGCTAATTTTCTTTTATAATCTTGCTAAACAACACTGAACAGTACATTCCAAATTACTACTGTGAGTAGCACATTTACCTGACACATTTATCAAGTAAGTAATTTATAATTTATCCTTTTTCCTCCAAATAATCCTTGTTTAGGAAAGTCAAGCAACCAGCTCGGTCATTTTTCAGTGAGTCCTTCAGATATTAGCCCATAATAACTGATACTCTTTCTTAGGTCTCCATGAAAGTGTTTTCATTCTTATTAAGATAAAAGCAGTTACTGAGAGTTCTTTCAAATGTTAGGTCTTAGTTCACTAATGCAACAAAAATAATCTTTATCATCTGCATTAGTTTGGCATAGCGTAGTACAGGAGAACACTGGAGGAGGTAGGAGGAATTCACTATTCAGCTAGAAGGAAGAAAACTTGTAATTTGCTTTTCCATTAGAAAATATTATCAACAGAGATGTCAGAAAGCACAACATGTAAACACTGTAATCTTGATCAAAAGCAAAGAAGTTTGCTTTAAAAAAATGTATTTCCTCATCAAGGTGTGTAACCTTTATACAAGCAGTTTATTTCTTCATATAAAAGAAGCACAGGTGAAACCTTCAAAGACAGAATGCAATAGATATTGCTGGAACATCAGCAATTTCCACTTGAAAAGACCATCCGTCTTCTAGCAAAGCGTAACTCATGGAAAACATGCTGCATAAACTGTTTCATCCTGAGCCTCCCTCAACTGAAACAGAAACACTTGTCAACTTTCTGAAAGTGCCAGAAACAGTTCAAGTTTAACCCAATCCATCTCGTGGCCCCTCAAATTCCAAGCAGGTACTCGCAAAATTACTTTATGCAATTAATTAGACTTTAGTATTTAAATACGAGCTCAGAAGTTTTAGACACATTATTTCATCATATTAATTGCATAGATGAACCAATAACTTAGTCTGAGGCAGGCAAACTGGTATGTTTCTGGTTACCAGAAAGGTAACACATAGGTAAAATATCTAGAGAGCCGGACAACTTCAAAATGGCATTCAGAAACACAATGGAAAATTCTGTAAAAACAGATACATTGAGGAGGCAAAAATAAACAGGGAGTGGAAGAGACATAAATATGAAAGTCAATCTTATACAATTTAGGAAAACACTGCAAGATGACTACATTTCTTCTGCCCATTTATTCTGTTTGTAGTGGCCAATGTTTTCACAGTTTCAAGTTTCCACATTCACGAAGGGAATTCCTCTAAGGGTCCAGACCTTCTTGGGGGCATTGGGGTGGGGGGTGAAACAGACAACAGAAATTAATAACTTATCAAAATAAGATGTTATGGCATAATTGTGCAGCTCACATTTAAATAAGGCTGTGTGTGTTTTATCTCAAAGGCCTCATCTATATTGCAGTCACTGCAGGACGTAACAATGTCCAAGAAACACTTTGTTCTAGCCTCCACAACCACTCCAGACCACCCAGAAGCAAACACTATTACACAGCAGGGCTTTCAACATCTAATGGAGACAGTTTTGTGCCTCCCTGCTTTCAGATAACTCATTCTGCAAAAATCCAACCATTGCTCAATAAGGCTTTTCAATATTTAACTGTGCAAAACTCCTCTTAAAGCCACATTTGAAGGCTTATCGCTAAAAATGTAATTTTGAAGGCTTCTCCGAAACACAGACTTCAACTGGGTGACAAACATGACTGGGACTAAGAATCTGATCACAGGCGTCACTCGTCTCCTAGCAAGATGAAAACCAACTCTAAGCTGTATGAGTGGCTGGCATACTGGAGTACATACCCAAGGCAAAAGACCCGTCACACTCTGCAAACCTGCTTCAGATTTCAACCGTACTGCAAACTGAAAGTGAGCTATAAAGACTAGTCTCCATCTTGTTTTGAGAACTGTGAGAAACAGAAGCCATACTCCATCATCACATAAAAGTCTATTTAAACAGCCAACAGAAAGGTGCCAAATTAGTACTTTCCTGAGTAATACATTTTGTAAATTTAAATCCAAGTAATTTTAGGCTGTTAAAAGCAACACAGAACAAAGAGAAAAACATTTCATGGAATATTCTACAGAGCAGGAACCACAGTATACACTCTCATGCTCTTGCACATTCGAGTATCAGCGTCATCACGCAAGTGTGGTTTCTCGGAGACCTTTTGTGCACACGGGCTGGCAGGAGGACTCCTTCCTACCTCCTTAATGGCCTCTGTGTACTCCCACTTGAGAAAACTCAGTAAGCGCTGGAAATTTTGCAAATGGCAAACTGAGGAGCTCTTGTTAAACAGTGACAGCAATTCTCCACTCCCAGCATGGGAATTCAGATCACTAACCAAATCAGAACCATATACAAGTATTCAAAACTTATGGAATTTTTCCTCAAACTTTACAACAAAATATCAGTGTAGCTGACAGCAAAGCCCCACTAAAGCCATCCTCTTCTATACAGAAGTGGCAAATCCACATGGAGGCCCTGGTGTAGTAACAACTCCTAGTTCACGAAGTAATTCTCTTACATGGGCTGTCATCATAATACTGTTTTCTGTTCTTGTTGACTTTCTCATCCCATCTAACCATAATTTTCCAAGTCATTTTCATATACAACTATAACTTTTCTTTACAATATTTAAGTCTTTAGCTTCGGGAAGAAACCAGAACTCCTTAGGTAAAGTTAGAAACCTGCAATTCAGTCATCCTGCTTTCCTCAAGATGTAAGTGAAAGGGAAAATACTAGACATAAAAATAAATTAAGAAACCAAATGACATAGAAATCAGATTTTCTGAAAGGATCGTGCAATCATCCGTTACTTTCATTTCTGAGCATCTTTATATAAAAGTTGTTCAGATAAAGAAAAAGCAAATTCTCAAAGGATCTCTAAACATCCTTCCTCTCAAGGTTAAAGCTCTGTTTATGGAACAGGGAAGAAGGGATGACTAAAAGCCTTGGTAATGAAGTGGAATAAAAAGGGTCTTTAAGCACTGAAAGCCACCTATGGCAGTCTTTAAGAGACAAGTCTTGCAAGGAAAGTGTTAAAAAGTCTCATGAAGTCTAAATTTCTTGTGTAAATTTTTGACACTACTGACCAGCAAGGTTAAACCAATAGAGCAGACAGTTGCAGCATGATGAAAGATAAACTCTGTTGGTCTATTTAAGTTCTAATAATCAAATACAAATTAAGAGTGAAATGAGTGGATTTAAAAAAAAAAACAAAACCCTTTTCCCATCTCCACATAACTTACACTTGTTTACTGATGTCACTCAGAGTCCACAAGTAGATGCTTTCAATTTTCAGATTAGCTTCAATGAAAACTTCCACAGAGCAGAACAAGATATATTTGCACAATCAAGTCTAATTTGAAATTTTCTTGTAAGAAATTAAGTAAATACAAACAGCCACCAGTAACAAGCATCTCTGACCCACTGAAAGATGATTCATGTTAATGGGTTTTCTATTAAAAGAAATACTGCATTCAGTGCCAATGAAGCCTCACCGACAAGTAGTTAAAATCGGGATGATGACCATATGGAAACAACTTCTGCTGTGCCAAGAGTTTCCAATGCTCTCAACACTGAATCTGAAGGTGGACTAATTGCAGTTCACATAGGCCTCTTCAGAACATAACAGTAATAATAAAGTAGCATTTACTGCCATCTGCATAAAGTGTGAGAGCCTCTAATATATGACAGAAACTTCCCCACAGAGAAACAGTCTTTCAGGAACATGGCAGGTATGAAACCCATGATGTCTGACTAGCAGTGACTGAAGAAACTGAAGGGCTTTGAGCGATGGAAGAAAAAACATGAGGTGACAGCTACCAAACAGCATAGCATGATTTGACTCAAAATTCATTTAAAAAGCACTCACAATTAATTTGAGATATAAAAATAAAGGACCCTAACAGAAACCATTACTTTAAAACCACGGCCTTAAGATATTAATTGCTGGGGAAAGCCACTGGGTTCAGGAAGGTTGCTGGGAATACTGAAGAACCATCTTAAAGAGCCTGCATTTTATTTAATGTGTTAAAGAACTGAGGTGGTTCCTCTATTCCTCTTCACATTTTGCAAGCTTACAAGAACTTCAAGTAAACTACTCTAGCATCAAGATGCTTTCTGTTTAATAGGATCTGTTAAGTAATCATATTTGGCAACTGAGACTTCCTTCTAACTTTTTAAAGAAATTCTCTGCCGCATCCTATAAAACCATGTAAGTACCAGGAAAAATGTAGAAATGGGTAAAAAGCAACTCTTCTCTCTGATAATGCTAGTTCAGACAACCACAGTGTAGCCCTGTACTTTCCTCTACAATCACTGAAGCACAGAACCTACAGGTGCCAGAGACATCATCCTCACTCTTCCGTAAGTGAAAAATCTCTTTTCTCATTCAAGTCAGTAGTAGGGTATTGCACAAGGAATTAAGAGTAGAACAGTGCTATCAAAGGAATTTCCTATGGAAATGATCACCTGATCAAATTCACCTCTTCTACAATACTCTTGGATTGCTCTGACAAAGCAAAACATCACGGGATTAGGAAAAAAAAATCCAAAGCTAGCGTGTAAAGCTGCATCTTGCAAGAATGGGAAAAGCATTTCAAAAAGAAATTAAATTATCAAGAGCAATGCTCCAAAATGGTCTATAACCTTGACCAAGTTAATGCACAAATACCAGAAAGACTTGTTTGAGACTTGCTGCTCCAGCTGGATGCACATAAGTCTATGGCGCCCAACAGGATTCATCCCAGGGTACTGGAAGGGCTGGCCAATGTCATCGCAGGACCTCTCTCCATTATTTTCCAGTGGTCCTGGGACTCTGGAGAGGTTGACTGGAAGCAGGCAAATGTTGTCCCAGTTTTCAAGAAGTGTAAGAAGAAAGACCCTGGTAATTACAGGCCTGTCAGTCTCACTCCAGTGCCTGGTAAAATTATGGAGAGGTTATTCTGGGAGTTACCAAAAAACACTTGAGAGACAATGCCGTCATTGGTCATAGCCAGCATGGGTTCACGAGGGGGAAGTCCCGCTTAACTAACTTAATTTCCTTTTATGACAAGGTCACCCATCTAGCTGACCAAAGGAAACCAGCAGATGCGGGTTTTCTGGATTTTAGCAAAGCTTTTGATACTGTCTGGACAGAATGTCCAGCACACAGCTAGACAAGTCCATAACACCCTGGGTGAGCAACTGGCTGACAGGTCAGGCTCAAAGAGGTATAGTAAACGGAGCTACACCAGGCTGGCGGCCAGTCACCAGTGGGCTTCCCCAGGGCTTGATTTTGCACACAGTGCCCTTAATGCTTTTATAAATTATTTGAATGCAGGAATTGAATGTACCTTAAGTAAGTTTGCTGATGATACTAAACTAGGAGGAGACGTAGACTCCTTCGAGGGTAGAGAGGCCTTAAAGAGAGACCTGGACAGACAGTAAATACCTTAATATGAATACCCTTTTTTTTTTAATACACACTAAACGATGCATACAGAAGACAATACAACTTCACCCTGCTCTGCAAACTCATGCTTGACCAAGTAAAAATATTTTATGTGTAAGCTGAATATTCGCAATACAGAATTACGGAGAAAACAGTTGCAATTCTACGCAATGCAACACCTAACTTTATTTCACCTCATTGCTTAAGCTATTAAAAAAGTTAGGATAATAATCTTTTATTATAGCACATATTATTCTTGAAACATGAACCGTTGGCTTTATTTTTTTAACTGTATTTCTGTACAAAAGCTAGTGAATGGGGTCCCAATCGCAGTGAAAGCTTTAACTTAACTTAGGTAGCACAAATACTCTCAGACGACTGAAAGCTACTATCTCACCTTCCTCTTATTCCTCAGCATGAAATAAATTTAAAAGAGCTTGTTAATATTTTTAGTTCTGCAGTCAATATCCATGAGACCTGCAGTTCACTAATTCAACTTACTGAATTATGTTTGTCATCTAAGAAACTGGACTTAAAAGTAAGTTTCCACTGTCCCATAAAGGTAACAAAATTCATGCTCTAGAATACATCAGAAGTTTGGAATTCTTACAGAATTGTTTTGAAAGCTAAGACTGAGATGATGTGATTTTTTTTTTGTCTGACATTGATTCTCATATAAAAAGCAAATTTCCCTTTTAATTGAATTAATAGAATTGATTTTTTAAAATCTAGGCCTTCAATCTTTAAATACTTAAGGAAAAAACAGTAGCAGAAAATAATTTCAACAAATTTCAGGCACCTATTGTAGCATCTTTTTGCTTGGGACACCTTTGCTTCCAGTGCACTTGTGAATGAAACACCATTTTCTGAATTTACCATAATATTATTCAAATATATTTTCAGAGAGTCAATAGGAAGCATGTCTTTTTTTTTTTGTTTCACAATAAGGGCATTAGAGTAAATACCTTTTTCAAAGGTAATAATTTGAAACTCAGGTCAAATGCCCATTTACTATTAGGCAAGGAAATCCCTATGTCTGAAAGTTACGCATAAAAACTGTAAATAAAACCATGAGTAAAATAAGTAATCACGATCCCACATCCTATCTCTGAAAACTAAATTAATCATTTAGAACTGATGTTTACAGCATTACAAGCTTGACATTTCCAAGTCAAACGCTACTATGGTACTAGATTTTAGTATTTTATGTGTATATACACACTAGCAAAATTTTATACATAGGCACAAACACTATTTGCATATGAGTGTCAAAAAAAGTATCTATTTGCTTTTAAATCTGTTACGTAACAGCGAAAAAATAAGAGCAACAGCTATAATAAAAAATATATTTCATCAGGAGAAAACTCAAATATATTAAGAAGCAAGTGTGGAAAAAAGTCCGAAGTAAAACCCTAGAAAACTGTATAAAAGTCACTATAAATCTATTAAAGAGCGTTTAAAACTCAGTAAGGTTCTTTTAAGCATATATTTACATGAATGGATGCCTATTACATGTACTTTTGTGCTGGTTTTGGCTGGGGTAGAATTAATTTTCTTCACATTAGCTAGTATGGGGCTGGTTTGGATTTGTGCTGCAAACAGTGTTGGTAACACAGGGATGTCTTCGTTATTGCTGAGCAGGGCTTACAAAGAGCCAAGGCCTTTTCTGCCCCTCACCCCACCCCACCAGCAAGGAGTCTGGGGGTGCACAAGAAGCTGGTGGGGGTACACAGCCAGGACAGCTGACCCCAACTGACCAAAGGGATATTCCATACCGTAAGACGTCATGCTCAGCATAGAAAGCTGGGGGAAAGAAGAAGGAAGGGGGGGACGTTTGGAGTGATGATGTTTGTCTTCCCAAGTCACTGCTAAGCATGATGGAGCCCTGCTTTCCTGGGGATGGCTGAACACCTGCCTGCTGATGGGAAGGACTGAATTAATTCCTTGTTTTGCTTTGCTTGTGCACAGCTTTTGCTCTACCTGTTAAATTGTCTTTGTCTCAACCCACAAACTGTCTCACTTTTACCCTTCTGATTCTCTCCCCAGTCACGCCATGAGCAATCAGCTGTGCGATGCCAAGTTGCTGACTGGGGTTAAACCATAACAACTTTATATACATATTAAATCACATTTAACTTTTCGGAATGGTCCTCATTCAAATCTACACAGATATAGTATATAAATGTATATAAAATTTATAGATGTAACATATAAAAATGGATAAACACCAACTTTTTTGCTATTTAGTTTTAAAAATTTAAGTTTTATTCATCTTAACGTCTTCTTTGTATTAAAATTGAAGTATCTGGATGCGAACGAGTCCCTCCCCTTCCTGCTATTCCTATTTAATTTTCGTAAGAAAAAAGAAAAGATAAATGGTTTGAAAGCACACTTCTCTCATTCACTTCTTAGTACAACAGATGCGTTAAGAAAAAAATATTTTGTTTCCTCCCCTGTTCTGTTGATCATCATCTGCTTGGAAGAAACAATATTGTTATTTTACAAATCTCAGTATCTCCCATCTGAGTGCATCCCTCGCATGCAGCTGACATAACGAGAACAGCTAAAATTTAGAGAAACGTGTAATGCCTGTTATTAACTTCCATTTACTGCACACATCTTATCAGGGGCATTTCTGAGCACACGGCTGGGCAGGTTCCGTCGCTCTGTGACCACCTATTCTGGCTCCTGTTCGATCAGCTCCTTCTCGGAGAACAGAGCCCTTCGAAAAAAATAGTAATTAAAAGTTTGGTCCCCGCCGGCACGCACAGGTCGGGCAGCGCGGCCGAGCAGCAGCCGGGGGCGGGAGGAGGGCAGGCCTGGGGCTCTCTCGACCGATACCCCTCCACTCAGGCCAAGCGAGGAGAAAGATGGGCCACAGAAAGGGGTCTTTGAGGAAAATGAGGGAAGGAGACCTGCGCCGGGGAA